TTTTAAATTACTTCATGTGTTTGAGCTTGAATAAATTGGTTTATCATATTTGAACTGAACGTATAACTATCTCAAATCAATTCTACTAGTAATTCAGACCAATTAATAGCAAGTTCAAAGTTCAAAATAGTCATTCCATAGTCAAATTACTGGAAAAAACGGCAAAACTAACTTTGTGATGTATCAATAAAAGTGAAAATAAGAGTGATCAAACAGATCAAACCCATAATTAAAATAGATGAGCCAATTCGTTTGACAAGATCACCTCTACAAATTTCTCCAAGCTATACACTCTTTATTTTACAATCATTTTGAAAGAGAATTATTAACTAATTAATAATTGACTCATATATCATCATCTATTATTGAAAATTAGTGCACTAACAGCAGTAATAGTAGTCTTTTGAATCATTAATGATGATCTATTATTTGGGCCTTAATATCAAATCAACATGAGTCAATTAGACTCAAATCACAAACCATAGATTATAAAAGTATTGCCTAAGTCATACCAACTGTGTTTTTTTTAATTACGTGGATTACTGTTTGGATTAAGCGTATCAATTTCTATATTTTGAAGATAAGCATACCAAATATGTTAATTGAATATGCAAAAAATGATTAAACAAACTTGATAGTAATGAATAAATTAATCAAATTTAAAATGAAATTAGGTAAATTTGATGCCAATCCAAGATAGCTTAGAAAGTTCAAAGCGTAAGGAGTAGCCTGCGTTGTACCATTTGCAAATGTCTGTACCAATTTATAATCCACATAGTACTACAAAAATTAACACTTATAAAAAATAATTAACAAGAAAAAATCAGTTTCATCAAGTGTTTTAAAAATTGTGAATAAACAAAAATTTGATCAATTTTAGATAAAAAAGTTTACTAATTATTGTATTATAAAAGTATTAATTATGATAATATTTAATAAATAGCATTGAAATAAAATGAAGATTTGTTAGTAAAATTCATAAATTAAAATTTGAGAATTTTGAACTTTTATTAATTAAATTTGATAAAATTTAATCAAATTTACAGTTTATCAACAAACTACAATAAAAATTAAACATTTAAAAAAGTATTATTATAAAACTTAAACTTACGGCAGGAGCTACTGTAATCCACATATTCCAAGGCATTAAAATACCAAATCCGTTTAGTAAAATAATTAAATAAGCAGCATAATACCGATCGGTATGCTTGACTTCTGGCATTATATTCAGACAACTGATTTGAATTTAATTCAGCGGAATCGAATTGCAACTTTAGGTTTCAAAGTATTCAGTTACAGCTGACATTAATGAAACATCTGCAAAGAGTTATTCAAATTGATAAAATATTATCAAGAAGAAATTGAGCAGAATCTGTGATCGACCTTGATTTTAACTATCATAAGTCAATAAAAAATCTTATCCAATAATAGTTCAAACTAGCTAGAATAAACTTAAGGGTTCATTTTGTGATTGATTTGTTGTTATTAAGATGTCGAGACGTATTCATAATATTTTCAAATCAATTGCAATATATTTGCTAGTTTGTGGAATATACTGAATCAAACATAATTTGAATGTGATGAATTGAGGGATTCACTTAAAACTGCCCGCAATGAAATTAATTCAAATTGGATCACTAATTAAGTAATTAAGTAATACTTACTAATTTTAATTTATTAACTTTGCATGTTTTTTGCCTATATAATAGTATACAAAATATAACGAGTAAGTCAAATTATGATAGCAGACAGTGAAAAACAGTAAGATATCAATTCTGGAATCAGTTAGATACTAAACTGATATTTATCGAGAATAACTAGAATCTTTATGGCAAATTAAAGTATTAATTATATATATTCTATTAACGAAATTAAAATATTAATTAATTATATGCAAAATAGAACTATAATCTATTTCTGATAATTTTTATAAATAGCAAACCAAGTAAAAGATTAAAACAAATTTGTTACTAGTAGAAATGACGAAAAATTATATTGTTATTACCAAAAGTTGAAAGCATTTAAAATACTTCACTGGCCACCGTTCAAAAGTAATCTTCAAGGCAAAAAGTAAACATTAAATAAATCTCGAAATGCAAAAGCTTAATAATTACCACTTTATGCACATTTTCATAAATCCAAATTATGCTTAAATTTCCTTACAAATTTAGCAAAGTTATTTTATAACTTTTATTTCGATTTGAAAACAAAAATAAACACAAAAACAAACTTTCGCACATCGATTTATTACTTCACAATACTTACTTATCTTTTACACTTAATTACAGTTAAATTAGTAGAAATAAATTAAAGTTCTATTTTAATTACTATGCTTTTAATTACTTAATTACTATATTATTCGTGATAAGGTTTTGAACAGATCAATTGTTGACTAATCAGAAGTTAATTCTGTTCATGCATACGTAGGAAAAGATTAATTAAATAAATTTAATGATACTTTTTGTTATGTTATCCGATTTATTTATTTTATTTAATAAAAAAATGCAGAATTTTGGTGCAATCAAAAATCATCACTCAATGATTAATAATTTTTATGCTTCTAAAAGTTATAAATATAAAAATTATTCATCTATAATTATATAATCTTTTGTCACAAAAATTTATTACGATATAAAAATACAGGAAAACAGTGATTTTTAATTTTTTTAAAAATCGGAAAAATAGCATAAAGTACAGTTTTTAAACACGAAAACAGAATAATTTGCAGAATGTGACATACCTTATTATTATTATTATTATTATTATTATTATTATTATTAAACTAACAATGATAGCAATAAGAATAATAAATAATCATGATAATGATACAAGAAGGGTTATCTATGCATCATTACTGAATGTTGCTACTAACAAATTCACATATATAATAATTATGTACGGATGTACGAAAAAATGTGGTAAACAATTTCAGAAGACAAAACAATATTTTTGATAAAAATAAATATTTTCAAAAGTTTAAGCAAATATAATAAAAATATTTTCTCATATCAGATATTTAATTAATAAATTTATGCCACCAAATTGTTTCAATAATTAAAAAAATATTCAAATATTATCATTAACAATTGATTATTAATAATGCGTACTCAAAATATTTGTTAAGCTTTCACTTTAATTAATTAAATATTTTCTAACAAAATAGTTAATTTGTTGCATGCTACAAAATTCAGTTACTGAAATCATTTATATTAATTTTTAATTAATTGGAATTTAAAATAATTTTATCCCCACTAACTTTCATCCATATTGATCATTTTTTTCTTATTTCTACACACAGAGTATTTATTATAAATCAGTTATAAAATACTCTGTTCAGCATAGAATTATGATTAATCGCATATTTTATGTATTTAAAAACGTTTATTTGGTATTTTGAAAAGTTTCATATCTGAAAGTAGTGCAAAAACTATATTCGCTTGAAGAAATGACTCAATAACTTGATGTTATTTGAATTATTATTAGCTCAAAAGTTCAAGTATGCATCAAGAGCTGAGTATTGATTTGTTAGATCATTAAAAATCTAAGATCTATACTTTGGTGAATAATATTTTTTCAC